TTGTTCCAAAGCAAACACTTCCCTTGGCTTCTGTTCTCACGCCCAGACAAGCTCTGCAGGAGTGGAGCTCCCGGAGCCCAGGACCGGGACCTGAACGGAAGGCAACCAACCCACAGGCTGGGAGGCCGGTTCCATAACAAATGTTCCAGACTTACGTTCCACATAAGCATTGTCACCTGGGTAAGCTATACATTTTCTTCAAAGGCAATAAAAACGAGGGTATCAACATTTGCAGAGCATTTGCCAAATGTTAGGCTCTGCGCTAACAGTTGGGTATTATCCCATTCAACCCTCACAGTCTTAATACCAGAAAAGGAAACTGAGGTTCAGAGACTCACATCACCTCTAGGTGATGAGGTCAAACCCAGACTTTCTGCCTTCAAAACCCTCCATGCCAGGGTTAGGATGACCTTCAGTCCTTCAAGATCTTCCCTGCTGGCATGAGGGTCCACCTTGGATCAAGTTCAGCCAGGGGAATCCAGGGCTTCCATGTTCCTTCATTATTTCATTGAAATCTCTCCATAGTGGATGATTATCTGGACCTTCCTAGGGGGGAATCAGGGTAGCTCAGAGAGGTTAAGGAGCTTGCTAGTAAGTGGCACTGAGATATCTCTTAGGAATGGACTTGATTTATGGAAACAGCCAAAAAGCTATTTGGAGCAAAGTCTAGTAAACTAGGAAAGTCATCCAAGTTGCCATCACTAAGCATGCTTAATAAAAATTTACACAAAACTGATCATCTGGCCGGGCGCGGTGGCTCACGCCTGTGATCCTAGCTCTTGGGAGGCCGAGGCGGGCGGATTGCTCAAGGTCAGGAGTTCAAAACCAGCCTGAGCAAGAGCGAGACCCCGTCTCTACTATAAATAGAAAGAAATTAATTGGCCAACTGATATATATAGAAAAAATTAGCCGGGCATGGTGGCGCATGCCTGTAGTCCCAGCTACTCGGGAGGCTGAGGCAGAAGGATCGCTCGAGCCCAGGAGTTTGAGGTTGCTGTGAGCTAGGCTGACGCCACGGCACTCACTCTAGCCTAGGCAACAAAGTGAGACTCTGTCTCAAAAAAAAAAACAAACAAACAAAAAAAAAAACTGATCATCTTAGGTGGTTCATAGGCTGACCATGAAGGCAGTTCCAGAAGAAGCATGTCAAGAATGGTTAGACATATCTTCCCATCTTAAACCAAAATCTGTCTCCTTACAATTTGCTCCAGTGGCTCCAATTTGAATTCCTGGAGGCACATAAAACTGGTCTTTTTACTAGCCCTCTTCCCATTCACTCCTTCCTTACAAGCCTGGTTATCTGGTTGCCAATCTGGGCAGACTAGAAGCAGCAAATTAAAAAAAAAAAATTATTTTACAAGTTCCCAGACACCATTAAGTATACTTACAAATGCAAACTAGAAAAGACAGATGCATATTAGAATCACCTGGGAAGATTCTAACCTACCAGTTCCTGGGTTCTACCCCCAGAGAGGCTAATTTTATCAATCAGGTTTGTGCTTGGGTTTTTTTGAGGTTCATCGAGTGATTTTAGCCAGGATTGAGAACCACTATCTTCAGAAGAAAAATTTAGACTCACAGAGGCTGAGTAAGTAGCCTAAGGTGCCACAGGAAGTGAACACGAGAGCTGGCCTTTGAGCCACAGGTCACCTCGCCCTTCGGTACTAAGCAAATGCTCAGATCGTGCTTGCTGAGTGGCGATGGAAGCGCTCTCCCTTCCTCCTGACACAGCCACCCTCCTTGACCCACGGATGACCCCACAGTCTGCCCAGTTCTGAAGGTGTGGCTCCCACCCCAACATATGGCTCCCCCCTTTTTTTTTTTTTTGAGACAGCGTCTTGCTCTATTGCTGGGGCTAGAGTGCCGTGGTGTCAGCCCAGCTCAGGCAACCTCAAACTCCTGGGCTCAAGCGATCCTCCTGCCTCAGCCTCCCAAGTAGCTAGGACTACAGGCACATGCCACCACGCCCAGCTAAGTTTTCCTATTTTTAGTAGAGACAGGGTCTCATTCTTGCTCAGGCTGGACTCAAACTCCTGACCTCAAGCAATCTTCCTGCCTCAGCCTCCCAGAGTGCTAGGATTACAGGCATCAGCCACTGTGCCCATGTGGCTCCTTTTGATAGGGCATCTGCTGGGCAATGTGCTTGCTGCAAAGCTGGGTGAGATTTGTTCAGGGACCCCGGGGTGCTGACTCTGCTCAGCTGCTGCATGAGGGTGTGACCCTGGGGATTTGAAGTTGGGTCCAGAACCAGGACAGGCCCATGTTGTGAACAGTCTCTTGCAGGTGGATTGTTGAGAGTGAATTCTTCTGCAACCATGGTATAAACCCTACTACATTCTCCAGTGAGATCCTACCTGCCAGGGATCCAGGCAGGGCCCCCTCCCCGCTTCCTCCAGAACCCCCTGAGCCAAAGGAGGCTTGTGGCCTTGTACTGCCTGTGTTCCCACCTTGCTTCTGATAAGATTTTGAATCCTCATCTAATTTAAGGTAGCCTTATAGGGAGTGTATGTGTGCAAGTCTCAGCACTCATAACCTTTAGCTGGGAACATGAGGACAGGGATGGCCTCCTGGCCCTCGCTCTTTCCTGCTGGACTGCCAGGAGCAGTAGGACACAAGAGACCACGACTGGGATGGGACGGGATTGTCTCCACTGTGGCTCCTCAGTGCAGATTCCACCCTAAGCCAGGCCTTGCCTCGTTCCCTCTCTCTGGGTAGCTTCATATTTCAGTCTCTGCAGTTGTCTTTTGTCCCCAGTGCAGAGTTTCTCTAGGTGTCCTGGTCCTGGCTCTACTCACAGATACATTTGTCTGGTTGCCACACTCCTTGCCTTTCCCTGCCAGGGCCACCCACTCCTCTGCCCTCAGCTCAAGGACATACTTCACCTTCCAGAGAGCAGGTGGCAATTACAGGCCAAGAACAAGGCACAGTTGGAGTGATTGACTCAGCTGACTACCGTCTATACAGTGTACCAAGTGTTTCCAAGACATGCTTTTATTTGGTCCATCCTCAAAATAACTTTGGGTGATGGTCAGTTTTATGGGTGAACTTGACTGGGCCATGGGGTGCCCAGATATTTGGTCAAACATTATTCTGGGTGTTTCTGTGAGGGTGTTTCAGGTGAGGTTGACATTTAAGTCAGTAGACTGAGTGAAGCAGATTGCTCTCTCCAGTGTGGGTGGGTGGGCCTCACCCAATCAGTTGGAGACTTAAATAGAACAAAAAGGCCAACCTTCCCTGGAGTAAGAAAGGATTCTTCCTGCCTGATGGCCTCAGCACTGGGAAAGCTTGTTCCCGCCTTTGGCCTGGGAAACATCAGCTTTTCCCTGGACTTGAGCCTGCCAGCCTTCAGAACTGGAACTAAACCCTCAGCTCTCCTGGGTCTCAGGCCTTTGAACTCAGACTGGAACTAAACCCCCAGCTCTCATGGGCATCAGCTTGCTGGCTCTCCTTGCAGAGCTTGGGCCTTGCCTGCCTTCGTAATGACACAAACCAGTTCCTTATGAATCATGCACACATACCCACACCCCACTGGTTCTGTTTCCCTGGAGAACACTGACCAGAACTGCTTGCCTCATAGATGCTGCTAATGCCCCCATTTTACAGATGAGAAAATGTTTCAGAGTTGGAGCCACCACACATATGGCCACCCTGAAAAAAGGTCTATAACTTATTCAAGGTCAATGTCAGTATTGTTGGTGGAGCAAGGACTTGAAGGTGGGCTTAATTCCATTAAATTATGTAGTCTCTTCTGGGAACTCACACCAGTGCTCCCTTCCTCAAGCACAGGATTGTCCTTGACACCTCAACACCTGGGGGCTACTCGGAGCCTGAGAAAACGGAGTATTTTGCTTTGGGGCTCTAGGTGCTTCCCAACTTGGCTCTGGATTAAAACGTGCTCTCCTGACGATGAGCCACCGACACCCACCCAGGTGCAGGCTGCCCTGCCCTCTCTAGCAGAACCTGGGTTTTGCTGACTCTGACTCTGCTCTGCCCTGCCCCAACCCCGTCCATCTGGAGGCTCCAGTCCCCTGCTCATCTGGGCTCGGTTATGCCTGGGTCTAGGATCTGTGATTCTTCCTTGATGCTTCATAGGAAGCCAGGAAGATAGAAAATAGATAATAGATATGCATAGGTGATTTAAACACAGTCACTGGCCTTTCTTAGTTCTGCAGTCACTTCCCTGTTAAAGAGTTGGAAGTATATTTCAGAACCTACATTATCCCATTTTGTTGTCAAGCCACAACCATTGTTTTGGAGAGGAGGCTATATATTAAAAAGACTGTCTTTTTAAATCTCCCATCTCTCTCCCCACCTTTTTGTACATTCTTTTCTTACTCCACATAATCTCCTCTTGCCTGCAGGTTAATTTCCAAAAGAATTCAAGAAAAGGTGTTTGGTCCACACATTTTGATCTGCTGTGGTTCTCCAAATGTTTTAGAGATACCTGGGGGGTAGATTAGCTGCTCCTTGGGCATAGACCAGGTAGTTCTGGTATGACAGCAAAAGCATTCTGATTTTTAAATGGTGGAAAAAAAGGTAGAAAAGGAAGAATGAAACCAATAGCAACAACTAACAACCAAGTTTTTTTTTTTTTTTTTTTTATTGAGACAGGAGACTCAACTTGGTTGCCAGCGCTAGAGTGAGTCCATGGCGTCAGCCAGGCTCACAGCAACCTCAAACTCCTGGCTCAAGCATCCTACTGCCTCAGCCTCCCGAGTAGCTGGGACTACAGGCATGCGCCCACATGCCCAGCTAATTTTTTTTATATATATTAGTTGGCCAATTAATTTCTTTCTATTTTTAGTAGAGACGGGGTCTTGCTCTTGCTCAGGTTGGTTTTGAACTCCTGACCTTGAGCAATCCGCCCGGCTCATCCTTCCAGAGTGCTAGGATTACAGGCGTGAGCCACCGCGCCCGGCCGAAGCTTGTATTTTAAAGAAAACTTTTTGATTGTTTGACATGAACAAACACAAAACAAATCAAACAGAAAAAAAATCAATTCATCAAATCAATTTGCAGGAAATTATTAATAGAAGACCCTGATCTTTCCTGATTTCCTCTATTAGTTAACTAATTACTTATAATAATTTAAGGTGTCACTGATACATTTATATCTCATGTGTGCATTTTTATGGCACATACTGATGACTGGCTACTTAATAGCCCTTTCTAACCCCTTC